TTTTTTTTTTTTTTTGAGGTCTGAAAGCACTGCATCTTTTTTGTTATTTTGACCAACAATATTCATTTTACTCAAACATATACCTAAAAAGAGTAAAATCAGAGAAAATGATCATTTTAAGTGGCCTCTTAATTTTTCCAGAGCAATATTTCATGCATTACTTCTTATCCTATAGTTTAATATAAACGGATACATTTTCCTGTTACTAAGTTTCACAAATTTTCTGTAATTGACATGAGTTAGACTATTCTAACCTGATCAGCACCCATCCTTGGTTCTCTGAAGTAGTAGAGCTTCTTGAGGACGGAATACTCTTCCTGGAAAAGAATTACAGTTATCAGGTTAGTCTAAAATGATACCTTTGATTCCAGACTACAGTAAGATCATTATTATAGATTACATGTATAAGAATAGCATAGACACACTCAGAGGTGGCCCTGGGTGAACCACCTAGTGGCGACCGCCCATTCCCCCACCCTCCATACCCCATCCATGAAGCTGTACTCAATATACAAGCTTGAATTTATAAAGAATTTTATTTGACCCCATGTATTTATCACATCATGACTGATGAGATAAATACAGGTTCCTCTGATAATTGATAAAGGTATGAACAACATTTAAAGACATTGCATTTTTTCTCCAGATGTCAATGACAGTTGAAATTGTTATTTTCCACAATGAAAACCCTTACACATTGTCTTATTGTTTTTTGGAAGAGGCCTGTGTCATTTCCAACCAGAATCTAACTTCTTGGTTGAATGGGAAACAAACTAAATGTCAGTTTGCCTGGGGTATTAACCTTTTTTTTTTTTGCTTACCTGCAAGTGTTGCAGAAACCAACCCTTATTTTTTTTTACAAAAGTATTATTTTCTGGGTCAAACACATTTGGAAACACAGATCAACTTGTTGGAAGAACAACATTCAGGCATAGATGAGATACCTGTGTGTATATTTCTTTAAAAGGGTTTTTACAGGAGAAGAAATCCAAATCAATGTCTAGGATGTATGGATCCGTTTCACTGAGAAATGTAGCCAATCTCCCAACAACATAACTAGTTGATCCTTCATTTTTATCTTCATCTCCAAAGTCTGTGCAATTGCTGCTCAGCTTTCTCTGTAAGTTGCTGTCCTCTGTTGGCAGCAGTGTAGGAGTTGTTACAGATGAAGGTTCCCCATCCCCTCTCAGATCTGTTCGAGCTTTTTTGGATAAATGTGTCACAGAATCCCTCTCTGGGTCATGCCCTGAAACCCAGAGTCAGATGAACAAGAAGACATCAAAGAAAATTATAAGAACTTAAATTATTTGAACATTTGCATATTAAATAAAAAAATATAACATTTTCTAACATTTATTTGTTTTGACAGAAAGTTATTAGTTATAGAAAGTAACAAAACTAAAAAAAATTGACAACAATGAATAAGCTTGAAACAATGTTCCACATTTAAAGGACAAAACATAAAAAATATTTTTTTGAAATGTGTTTGTAACAAATGTGGCTTTTAAAACATGCAGACAAATGCATATGTGGACACCCTTTAACAGTGTTAGCCTTCAGTCTTCCATTCAAAGCATAGTTAGCTTTGAGTTTCCAAAGTATCAGATGGGAGTCACTGTAAAAAGGTGTCATTTAACACTGAAAGAACAGCTTGAAATATACCACAGAACACACACGCAAATAAAAACATTAAGTAGGAAAATGTGGGGTCTGGGATTACTTTTTGACATAGAACTAAGGTTTTGCTTCAGCTGAATGGTATTTTGAATTGTTTTTAAAGTCAAAGTCCTAACCCAAAACCTTACCAAGAAAAAGGTCTTCAGTTCAGTAAGCACAACCCAGCAAGTACAAGCATAAATCCAACCAATAAACAATGTTTTCACTAGAAGATAACCTACCCTAATTAATTTTATTATTTTGTAAAGACCAAGTAAAATTCCGAAACACATCTGTTTTTAAATCCTTTACGACACCAGAAAAAAAAAAGACTGTAGACAAACAATGTCATATTCATACAGATTTGTGACAGATAATCTGGGTAAAAGTTCCCAAGTTGAGGCATGGCAAGTTATCTAAGGCTGCAGCCTGAAGTGACCCAAATCTGATTTTTTTGTCAAATCGGATTCTTTTTGCTGGGCCGTTCACACTGCCACACATATTCGACCTGTATGCGTTCTGCAGTCTGAACGGGCAAACGACCTGAAAGTGTCCCGCATGCACAGTAGAGGGCGCAAGGGCGTCAGCGTTCTCAGTGTTCTGCCAACTGCAGTAAAAAGAAGTGCTCAGTGTTTGCAGAAGTAAACATGGAGGCTAACGGTGGAGCTTAGCTTACATATTTGAAGTTGTTGTCCAGCCATAGCAGCATATTAACAACTTAATCTTCATTATAGTCCATCATGGTTGTCGTTGAGTATCAGTGACGTTCAGGTCAGATGAATGCGACCTGAACGTTAGGTTTGAATCATTTGAATCGGATACGTATTGGATATGAAAGTAACTTCACATTCAGGACACATTCGAAAAGAATCCTAACTGTTCTGTTCAGACTGTCATGAAAAGATCAGATATAGGTTGCATTACGTCAAAAAAAAAATCGGAATTGGGTCACTTCACCCTGCAGTGTGAATGCAGCCTAATTCACCCCATGAAACACCATGAGGGTATTATTTTATATATTTCTCATGAACATATTAGTTTACTTTGCAGTTGAATTGTATGGGATTGATATCCCATTAAAAGAATACAAAATTTAAAAATGGTTTATCATGTTTTTTTTTTTACATAAGGTAAAAAACATCACTCTGGCTTCTCAGCAGGGCACTATGCACTCTTTAGACCTGCTCCTTCTATCCACTGTTGACATGCCATTTCATATCACAGTCCATATAGGTAACATTTACTTGTAAACGATTAACAATCTAGAAAACATAAATACTTTTATGTAAAGTTCCTTATTGTACAAGACGGTTAACTTACTGAAAACAATGTTTAAAGTAAAAGTAGTGAATGTATCACACTGTGCCCATTGGACTAGCTGAACAATTGTTGCAGAATCAGATTGACAGATTGTGAACCTCCACTGTATCTTTAATTTATGCAAAGCCAACACCTCATGAATGTCAATACTAGTTAGTGATTATAAGTAGTGTTTGTCAACTAAAGATTGTCACATCTTCCATGTGATAGAAAATCTGTGCAGGAAGCTGGAGATTGAAAGTTCTCCATACCATCAGCACAATCTGAATGAATCTAAGAAAAATGTCAAAATACCAATGAAACATGCAAACAAAGAGTATAAATGGCTCCTACATAAATTAGCTGATCAAAGTTTATGCTTTTTAACCCCTTACCTGTTACCCCAAAAACAGTTCAGATGCAACGTAATGGAAACATGACAACACTGCTGTCCTTAAGGATTGACTGACTTGAATTCAAGTGTTTGTTGGGTTACAGTTAAGGTGTTGATGCCAATTAAAATATTTTGGGAAAATAGAGCTCACAACCACCTAATCTTTCCTATGAAAATAAATTTAGCTCCAACAAAGCTAGTTCAAACTTAAAAGATGTAATCACTTTTTGAAGGTACCTGGAAGTGGCCCAGTTGATGTTTTGACAGGATTTACTTTGACTATGTTCAGTCTGAGACTTTTTGAGTTCTCCAGCAGCTCGTCACAAACATACAGACCATCACTGAGGAAGTAGTTCTCTGTACTGGTCAACCTGGAAAATAATAAGAGGATAGAGATAACGTAACATTTAATCTTCTGTTGTTTCTGTTCTTTACTAGAGAAACTGAGAATAGAGGATCTCAAATTTTTACTGTAAAAACTGCACAAAGTCTGGGGTTCTGTTTAGCTGTGACAACTTCCTGGAGGGGTCATCGGCTCAACTGCTGTTCCCAACAACTTAATACAGATTATTCTCTTGGCTCTGTCTTTCGATGTCTAACCCCGTCTCTCTCCCAGACATAATTATTGGCAGAGATTTTGTCGCAACTAACAGTACATGCTGTCTTTCATTATATAACCTTTAAGACCAGCTCTGAGCTTATTTGTTAAGCTGTGTTTCTCTCTGAAATGAAGCTGCTAAAGAAGCTACGTCCGGATGTTTTTACTTTTCTCCAACACTGAACGTACTCCTGGATCAGTGCTTCTGTTTCTTTTGTGTCTATGCTCTGTATTCTTAAATACCCAGTGAGGTGTGGCAGAGGTTGTTGGAGATGTTGGAGGTTTTTTCCTGCATGCATGTTCGGCATGAAGGATTCCTGTAAAGTCAATGACACAAAGCAAGCGGTTGTCTTCTGTTGCTACATGTCCATCCGGAAGGAGTGAATTCTGCAAGTCAATGACTCAATGCGATCTGCTGGGTTTCCTTATATTAAAAATTTGACCAGTGATAATAATAAACTGAACATGACTTTATTGGTTGATAACTAGAATTAATTGGAATGGATGTGTTAATGGTTTGAAATGCCTTTTTCATAAAGTGCCTTGAGATGACAAGTTGTCAGTTTTGTTAATAAACTGAATCAAATCAAATGTAAAGCATGTAAGGCTCAAATGGTCCCTTGCCAACATGCTTTCCAGTCATTTGTCTGCAACTCAACATCCCTTTGATCCTGGGACACTTTGGGATGGGGAATCTGACAAGAGGTCAGCAATCTTTTAAATTCAAAGAGCCACGTTTGCCCCGCTCCCACAAAATAAAATTTGTCTTGAGCCACAAAAAAAAGACAAATTTTAGTTTTAAAAAAACACTAAAAACGTTTGTTTTGAAAGCAAAGTAAATAAAACTAAAAGTTCTATTTTCAAATTTCATGACAAAATGGATCATTTAAAGTTTACAAAGGGAAAAAAAAACTATTAATTATTAGTTGTGAAATAAGACCAGGTGAGTGATGCCTTTATATAACAGAAAGATGTATGATGAAAGATGCACAGCCCACTTAAAAAAGGTAAAGTACACAACAAGAAGCTAAAAAAAATAATTTTACAAGCCTCAAAACATTGCTGTCCTTCTATTGTAGATATTCTATGCAGATATTGCAAGTGTAATTTTAGCAGTGCTAAAATTACACTTTCTTATTACCTTTATAATTCAAGACAAATTCTATATTTTGTTTTGTTGTAAAGGAGCCACAATGGAAGACCCAAAGGGCCACTTGTGGGTCTGAAGCCTCAGCTTGCAGACCCCTGAACTAGACTGACCTAGTAATAAATACACATTCCTTTCAACAAAAATAACCATTTATTATCTATGTTTATCTTACCTCATGGTTGTAGTAGATGAGTCTCTGCCAACATTGAATGTGTGCTCTCCTTCACTGATCTGTTGAGACCAGTAAGGATGCAGCCACACCATGTAGCTCAGATGACCAGCATACACCATAGGCATTATCCAGTTTTCTATACTCAGCTCACTAAAAGACAAAAGAAAAATACAACTCTTATCAAGTGTCCATATATTTCAGCAGATTCAGCAAAATGAAGGTAGGAGAAAAGACACAACCCTTTGAACAACAGCCCTGATTTCTTTTAAAGTTTCCTAAAAACAAATGTACCAGTCTAAAACTCAGTTAAATGACATTCGTCCCTGGTGTGATGATTCAGTCCCTTATTTGTCTTATTTGTCTTATTTGATAGTTTGGCAAACTTGAGGTTTGCCAAACTATCACATAGTTAAAAAGGGTTAAAACCTTTTAAAACATCTTCACACCTCTTAAGAAGTCTGCACTTAATTAAAACATAAACTTGTTCTACAATAGTCAAACAAATAAGGCACATGTTCAGTTTTTTACATGTGCCAAACCAAAATGTGTGCATCTGTTCAACTCTCAAACTGCATGCAAAAAAAGTTTCTTTGGTTGGGTGAACAAACTCCTGGCCAAGATCAGAAAGTTGTTAGTAATTGATCAGTAGCGCACTGCTGGCAGACAGTTAGTGAGGAAGAGAACACACTTGCTGTACGTCATGCAAGTCAACACAAAGTTACTGATCGCAGACTGGATGGGCAAAATTTTTATCTCTAAGTTGTAACAGAGCAGAAAACTGTAGGGCAGGGGTCACCAACTCCAGCCCTCCAGGGCTACCATCCTGCAACTTTTAGATTCACCTCTGCTCCAAAATGTCTGAATTCCCTCACCAGCATTCATTCCTCTCTGCAATAGGCTGGAAACGAGCAGTTTATTTGATCCAGGTGTGTTTGAGCAGAGACACATCTAAAAGTTACAGGATGGTAGGACTGGAGGACTGGAGTTGGTGACCCCTGCTGTAGAGTAATGTAGCAATTTGATACAATACATACACTGATTGTAGCAGGTTGCTACAATCAATAGCAGCCACACAGAAGGAAGAAGGAAGGAAACAAACACACCCAGTATAACACTTTCATTTTATTGGCTGAGAGGTTGTCAGACAATGGTACATTTTTTCAAGAGCAAGAGAAGGAAAGGATTTGCAAGTGAGCAGAGAAGTTTGCTAGCGGAGTCTTTATCTGAGCAGAAAGAATTTTGAGCGTGAGGAGAAATGTTTGAGAGAGTACAGAGAATATATGAAAAAGAGCAGAAGTTTGCGTGCAAGTATTACGAGTTTTGAGTTTGTCTTGTCTTCTATGCCTTAATGTTGGCTGAACAGGCAAAAAGGCCTCATCAAATGTCTCTGGTAGCTCTGTGATCATCACCACCTTCACCATTATAGCTATGTTTGTTTGTCAGAGGTTTGATCTACCTAGGCTACACTTCACATGGGCGCAGCGATCTTGCCCTGGTTTCAATCAAATGAAGGGAACGTTTTACATCAGTGGTGCCCAAAGTTGGTCCTGGAGGGCCGGCATCCTGCGTGTTTTAGTTCTCCCCCTGGTTTAATGCCCCTGGATCAAATGATGGCTCATTAGAGGCCTAAGAAGAACATTGAAATGGTTGTTACTACCACCAGGGAGAGAATTAAAACATGCAGGATGCCGGCCCTCAATGACCGACTTTGGGCACCCCTGTCTTACATTGTCCTAAGTTTGTTGGTCACTGACAAAACCAGCTTGGTCCTCATCAATGAGCTCTGAGAAAACTGCCTTCAGCCTATTGGACATGACAGAGGCATCCATCCATCCATCCATCCATCTATCCATCCATCTTCTTTACAACCTTGTCCCTAGTGGGGTTGGGAGGGTTGCTGGTGCCTATCTCCAGCTAATGTTCCAGGCAAGAGGCAGAGTCACCCTGTACAGGTCTGACAGAGGCATATTATTTGTAATCTTGGGTCACGAATGATATAAGGTCTATACGAGTTGCATAATGTTTTATTATTGCCTTTTTCGGGCATAACTGTTATAATTGCTTCAGACAATAATGGCAGTATTGTCATTTTTACCAGAGTCCATTTTAATGACTTTCGTAACATGAAGACAATTCTTCTTCAAAAGCCTTATACTACTCAGATGGTAGACCGTCTGTACTGGGCGTTTTGTTGTAATTTTTACCGCTAGCATCAAGTCTGTTTTATATGGGGTTTTGTTAAACTTTTATTCTGTCATAGTCCAATTGTTAATTAATCTAATCAATCAAGGAATATTTTAAAATCTTTGTTTCGGTTTTGCAAATAATGTTTTATAGTATCTTTGATAAGATTTGTCAACATGTTCTAAACTACTTCCTAATATTCCTGTCTCTGGGTCAGTTATTGAACAAACTGATTGCATAATAATTTTTTTTTAGTTTTTTTTTTTTTTTTTTTACAAATTTTGTTGCAATAGTTTTGTTGCCTTCTGTCCCGTTTCATAGAAGGATTCTTTTAGGAATCTATATATTTTTCTTCTACTACTACTTCTTGCACTGAAATGTACCAACAGATTTTAAATTTATTTCTCCCAAATGTGAAAACAACAATGTATTATTCTTCTGCTCTTACCTGAGGAGTTTCTCCTTTTCAAATACTGTGTCAGCAGGCATGTTGACAGGGATAAGAAGGTCAGGATGGGAGTCTAAATGAACCAGTCTGATGTTGTTGAGTGGAAGATGTCTTGATGCAATGGCTCGATAGATGTGATGGACCACCTGCAACAATATATAGAATTTACACACGATATTGTTTTACTATATAACATTTATCAAAACAAAAAATATATATATTACTCTAATCTGTCACCATTTAATTGTACAGATAAATAACCCATATATTTAAATAAAGAACCTCTGCCTGTTGTATTGGTGGGATTTACTTTCTTACAGTCTCCATCTGATTTTTACTATTATCTGTACATGTACGCTTCCATGTCCCCGTCACTTGGTTCTGATGGAGTTCAATTTCCTCACGGGGCGACAGTAAAGTCCATTTGTATTATTCTCCAGACATTATTGAAGTAATTATTTAAATGAGTAATCTGTAAATTAGCCTGAACTTATGGGGGGTTTTTTTGTTTGTTTTTTTACGTTTTTGTTATCCCCTTCAGGATTGAATATCTTAGTTTTCATTCAGTCAGTTTGACATTATTCATATGAGAGAATCTTATTCGATTTTTTTCTGATAGCGGTCAGTAAAGAATAAAGATACGTCCTTAAAGGTTTGTATTTCAACAGTCCAGCTACTTGTATTGAGCTTGTTGCTGCCACATCTGGCACTGTTGGTTCTGCAGTCACTGACCGAAGACAAACATCCTTACATGGTGGTGGTCCTCCACTATCCACACAGGCAGCTTATCGTAGAACCTTTTCCGCGCCAAGGTATTCATTTCTGCATAAAGTTGTTGCCCTAACGGACTCTTTAATCAGATTGACTTGAGAAAGCTAGCAGTAACCCTTTTTGTACGAAGAGTGCAGTCATGTCCGCGAGCGAAAAGTAACCGGAAATTCACGCAGCAGAGTTTATATCGCCGGTTAGAAACAAGAATGGAACAGAAAGGTTCTGACACTGAGTCGTAAACAAATCAAATAATGCTACAAAAAAGGAAACATTTGTAAATATAAAGTTTAACGGCTACAGTTGGTTATAAATAGTAAGGAAAATCTCTAAATATTTATCAAAATATGTCATCAATGTCCTCATAGAGATGTTTTATCAAGTCAAGCTTTATGTTAGCTGCGATAATTGAGTTACACAGATGCAATTTACTCCACTAGAGTATTTACTGGACACATTTGAAAAAGACTTTACTATAGGCAGGCGATAGTAATCAACAACGAGAATAAATGCTGTTAATAATATTTATTGTTTCTATTGTGGCACCATAGCTTTCCCTTTAAATTTTATCTATTTGCCGTTAATCAAATAACCTCTGTTTGTTTGTAATGTTTGTATTGTATGCGCAAATTGGTGAACAAATTATATTAAAAAAATCTCTGTAACTCTGCAAAAAATGAATCCCAGTCCTAAATTCATATGTTTAAACCCTAGGATTATTTTCAATTGAAGTAACTTTTTTGTTTCCTGTAATGTTTGCCCAATTATGCCTGAATAGTTTAAATTTGATCTATCTTTACCTTTATTACAATACTGATTGAGAGCAATTTTATTTTATGAAATTTATTTTAATTCATGAATAATAATTTATAGTAAATAAATTAATTTCATTATTCTTCAAGGTCACTGTCTGGTTGTAGCTATGCAAACACGTGCATATTCACATGCTTGTGCACATGTGTGACTCAGCAGTCACCCAGAAACAAACCAACTACCTGAATCTGCTGGTAAATTAGGAAAATTAACTATTGCCAACCTAAAACTGCAGCCCTCAATGTAAGAGAGAAAAATGTTTTGTCAGGTTTTATGAGGTCAAAGTGCTAAAGTGTTTATTGAATTCCTATTATCACCAGGTTTAACCTTGACAGTTGCAAACACCAAATAGGATAATGATCTTCAGTTTGTTTGACCTTGTAACACAGCAACTCCACAGAAATTGACACATCATTGTTAGAGTTCTTTGCACTGATATAAATGTTTACAACTTTCCCATATGTTAGCGTGTGAGGGCTTAGAGATATATATGTCGATTATTTAAAATAAGGTAGCTAATTTAAATAATCAAATCATAAGAATCTGACTTTATTTGTTCATCTTTGCTAAATTAAAAGTGAGAGAAAATAATTGACGTACATATCAAATAGCAGAAATTCTTGTCTATTCAGGACATCTGGCCTGTTAATTATAACATCATGTGAGGTAGCAAAAAAGTCATAGCAGCAAGGTTCACTATGAAGAAGACAAAGATTTATTAACACAAAAGTTTAATATTTCTGCACATATCTAATACATTTCTTTGACAAACCTAGTTTGTCCCAAGATTGGACAATACTCCGTCATCTGTACTTTTGAGATGTCTTACAAAAACTCTCCCTAAATACACAATCAGTAGTTTTTGACGGTACATCAAATCTTAGCAGCTGTTTATATTGTTGACTGGAATTGTTGTAGCTTAATAATTTATCATTTATTCATTTAGAACTTTATGCTTAAATGTTTGCCACTGCAAAAAAGAAAATCACTGCACTTAGTAAGTAAAAGTGTGAGTATGGGTCTAGCTGAAATTACTTTAAATCAAGATGAGTAGTACAACGTTTTTATTTCAAAGAGAAACAGGTTCACTTTTTTAATTCAAATCAATTCAATTTATTTATACAATGCTAATTCACAGTACACTTAGTCACAAGGCCATTTATAAAACAATCAATCCAATCAAATATTACAAATTCCAAGTCAAATACTCATATTCCAAATGGATCCTTGTTATTAAACAATCCGTCCGTCTGTCCATCCATCCTTTGATCCATCCACTTACTCTGAGGTTGGGCTGTGAAAGTAGCAGCCTAAGCAGAGAGGTCCAGACTTCCTGGTCCACAGCCACTTAGGTCAGCTCCTCCAGGGGAATCCCATGGTGTTACTAAGCCAGTCAAGAAACATAGTCCCTCCATCATGTCCTGGGTCTTCTTCTGCACCTCCTTTCAGTGGGACATGCCTGAAACACCTCCAACAGAGGCGTTCAGGAGGCATTATAAACGGATGCCCAAGCTCTTCTTGATGTGGAAGAGCAATAGCCTCCGAGAGCCTCTCAGATGGCTGCGTTTCTCACCAGGGCCATGCAGAGACCTTTGGAGGGGCAGGAGCTCAAAGTTAAAAAGGGGCACATTGAACAAAATCTTCAAACATCGCACAACATCATAGCAACAACTCATATTGATCAAGAATCTAATATTTAATCGGACCATACTCTGTCATTGTCATGTGGGGCAATGCAAAGCAAATGTTGTCTATGTTTCCCCAAAAAGTTTCTGCTGTTGTCAGAGCTGGAGGGCTGTGTTGATCTGAGACTGTAGCTGTTAAACAGACCTATAGGCCATACTTCACTGGTTAGAAGTATACTGCTCAAAAAAATAAAGGGAACATTTCACTTTAATTTTGTGTGTGGCTCCAAATCCAGGCCTCCATTGGTTAATAAATTTGATTTCCATTGATGATTTTTGTGTGTTTTTGTCGTTGGCACATTCAACTTTGTACAGAACAAAGTATTCAATGAGAATATTTCATTCATTCAGATCTAGGATGTGTTATTTGAGTGTTCCCTTTATTTTTTTCAGCAGTGTATATTATGAAATAAGCAAATTTTAATAAATTTGCAAATTTACTAAATAAAGCTTAATAATATCTGTTTAACCTCCATAGCAACTTGACTGCAGACTGCTATAAAGATCAGAAAAGCTCAGATTTTTTAACTACATAATTTTTGATGTTAGCACCTCAGAAATCTAAAATTGTAAGACTGAGAGATATCAAGGCAAAGAAAAGTCAGTCGCTGCCGGTAGGCCCCTCCAGACATTCAGGGGCCCCTATTAATGGTTGAATTGTAACATAGACCATAGATCTAAAACTGTAGCATTCATTTATTGAGAATGGAAATGCGACTAAATTTTATTTAATGCGTTCAGCAGAGATAAAATTTCAAATAAATTAGGAAGTTTATTTTATAAAATTTACTTTGTATTTAAATACTGTTAGTTATGCTCATGTTCTCAGCATTAAGGAGGGTCTAAATCAGACATCTCCCGCCAGCTGCTCCAGCACACCAATACTAATGCGGAGCTTTCTGTATGAGTGCATCACTGGGATGCGGGGACTTTTTTCTCTCTTTGTGGTCTTATGGCAGACTGAGACCAAATTTAATTGTACAACAGACATTATCACTTACAACATCTTCATGACACGCACATGTAGGGCTATGGGTGTAGACACACTTAACAGCATTCAGAGGGGCTTCTATTCACTCAGCCTCACTTTTGGTGCCTGCTCCCATTTCCCAATGTGGCTGGTAGACATGGAGGGTTTTGGCTGAGGGGGTAGGATGTGGGGGGAGTGTCCAGCTAATTTCCCATGTCCCTATAAACTCTATAAAAACATGCATCAACACCACATTTGAGCAGATGAAGACAGGAAAAGCCTGGAGATTTTCCACACCCCATTTTGAGGTTGGAGGCTGGGCAGAGGAGTGGTCTGTCTGGACTGGGGTTAGGCGTAAGGTCTTCAGGGGTCGATTGGGGCTGGGGTTTAGGTTCTCCCGGGGTCACTCAGATTTTGGATTTTGGTTCATGGCTTCAGTGTCTGGTCCACCAGCTGGGGGGCTGCTGGATTTCAGCAGAGAGCGGCTGTGTGGGCCTCACATCTAGGAGTGTGGCTTCACTTTGGTGGATGGATTGGCTGGTCAGCTCTGTGCACCATTAATGGTGGGGGTGTGTTGTAGAGTGGGGTACGCTGTTGGCATTTTTTGTACACATGTCCGGATAACAGTTTTTTCCCAACCAAGTACAAGAAATTCAGTTTAAATACTTGTTGATATCGAGTAACAATATTGAGTCATTAGCAAGTTAGTACTTATACTTCACACAATAACTTTTGAAAACAACCTTGTTTTATTCAGAACAGTCTGCCTGACTGTTTTAGCAAATTATAAATAGAGCATGACATGCCGGTGGTACCAGGTGCACAGTGGTACCACAGTCTTCAAATGCTTTATCAAATTACTATTTAAAGATCCACTTTATGCGAGAGTTTAGATCTATAGACCGAGCCCAACTCGAAATTTGGACTGGACTAGGTCAAAAGTTTTGACTTTATGGTTCGGTCAGGCTTGGGCTTCTGTGGCACATTTAGTAAGCCTGCAATACATACACAAAAAAAGCCAAAAGAGAATGTGCAATAAAGTTGTGTTTATCTACTTATTACAATCTAAACAGGAAATTGTTGTGGAAGGAAAGACAGGTGCAGATGTTCATTAGTGTTTTATTTCTGGAAAGTTTTTTTAGCCCCCATGCAGAAACAAAGTGTTATTTACTATATGTACAAAGGAGAAAATGCGCAAATCAGGAGACCCCATACTGGGACTGGTACAGCAGTATCTGAAAGGAAGACAGAGTTATGCCCGTTTTCCATTAGCTCTACTTCGGCAGCTCAGCTCAACTCTACTCTACCCAGCCTCGCTCCGCTCTACTTCGTAGTGATAACTTCTCCAGACTCGGCTATAGATCTGCAGCAGATCGCTACCTCCTGGTGGTGCGGGAGTATTGAGCCCCACTTTGAGGCCTTCTATGCCATGTGCTGTGACTCATATCTATTCGACTGAACAAGAATTGTTATTTTTCTGAGACTAAAGAAGAGAGAGTTGAGCTATTTTTTTATAGCCTGCTTGTTTTCTTCACGTTTCTTGTTCATTTTAATGTGCTATTTAACTGTTTAATTATGAGAAATTACATCTAGCTATTTTAGAAGAATAGAATATCATATAATATAAATATTCTTTATTGTACCACAGCAGGGAAACTCTGGTGCAACACCTGCAAAATAATCAAAGTACTGAAATTAACACAAAAAAATATATATAAAAACGAATAAAGACAAAGTTGGAGCGTAAAAATACCAGGAAGTAATTGTAAACAGCATCCTCCAATCTAAGGAATATGCAACTGAGTAGGATAACTTCAGAAAATGTGCACGTTTGAGCAATAAAAATAAAACAAATTGATGTCTTCCATGGCTGTATGTGGGCTATCTGAGAACTGACTGCGGTGCATTGAAGAGTTCTGGGCAAGAGGCTTTGCAACGCAATCTTATGCTGCTGAACCACTGCTGTGGGTTTATTTCAAATGCTAACACTTTATCACAGACCACAGATAAATACATGTAACATTTGTTTATTAAGACTGTCAATGCTTCTAAATTTGATTTCATGGTTTCAGCATACATACATGAAAAGATCTGAAATTGTTTAACATTTCAATTTAAGATTTTAAGGAACTGTCAAGTTTACCTTGTAAAAGTTCAAAGAACAATCTTTATAGCTAGATTGTTTTGTTACCATAGCAACAGTCTGATACTGTGAGTTTAATCTTTGAGTGCAATGCAAAGTGTCAGATGCAGTGGTCATATTGAACCCTAAGGATTAGGAATGAGTTGTCACTTAAGCTCATATGTGAGGCAAGGCAGGCGAGCAAATACTTTTGGCAATTTACTGTATTATTTTTGCTTCAGCCAATAGCTGTCTTTTCAATTGGCCAAAAATTACAATTAAGATATGGAAGGTAGAGATGTTGTAGTATTTCAAATAGCATTTATACCAGACAACAGAAAATTTCCTGGGCTGCTTGGACAAAGACATGTGACAGAAATTATGGAGGAAATAGGTCTGTAGGAGGCAGCCGTTTACCTGTGCAACACACACCAAACACACGCCAAAGCAATACAATGCACAGCATTGAATCTGAAAAAGATTTTTAGTCAAAAAAGCAATAAATCTGCACTTCATTCTCATCTTAGTTAACTGTTGGCCATTCCAACTATTGCCTGTGACATGTGTCTTGACTCGTGAAGGCACCATAAATGCCACACATTTTTAAAAACAAAAAGCTAAACTTTGAAACCCATTTGTTGAATATATTTTCTAAGC